AATAGGCAAATAAATGAATCCAAGAAACACACTTTCTAGATAAAAACACCTGTCCAGTCGTGTGGATTTCTGGCTGACCAAAATTGACTTTTTCCAATTAAAATCGTTCACAACACATATTGGTAATTAGATATCTCGATATGTGTGATGAAATACGATTAAATCTCAATAAGTGATCATCGTTCGATCTAATTTAGTACTGTCATGTAAAAGATATAAATGTTGGATCATATTTCTTTTTAAATATAAAAGTAATAACAACAATAAACTATGTCTTAAAATTAGTTTTTTTTTACATTTGAAATATTTTCATATTGTAAAAATGAATCAAATCAGCAACGAAACAGGTTCATGGAAATAAGGGATCTGGTGTATAAATTCATGATGCAGAATCCAGACTCAATCAAATGTCACGATATTGAAAAGGAGACAATTGGGGAATTTACAGGTCAAACGACTATTCTGATAACATATCTCTCGTGAGTCCAGTACATACACATCGTTTCTGTCGAACAAAGTGTAGTAGTGGCCGTCAAACTTCATGGTAAAGTGTCAATTTAAGTCTTTATTCCTCATAATAATGATACAATGTTCGTATAAGGGATCGCTATAACATATCGGGAGGGGGTTAAAATCTAGTATAATCGAAGAAATGTACATGAATTCTTTCCAAATCAGGTGTCATCGTTTGAAGGTTTATGACAAAGAGGACAGTGCTTAAAGTTAGGGTGACGTATATTGATACGCGAGTACATAAACCCAACAAAGATATCAGGCTTAAATGTTGTACGCCAGACACGTGTTTCCTCTACAAAAGACTCATTAGTGACGCTCGAATAAAAAAAGTAAAAAAGGCTAAATCAATGGATATACATAGAAACACAGAAACCGAAAAAGAAGTGAGTACAATTTCAAATTGTAAGGGAACGACCATTCCTGATTCAGTTAAAATAGGGGGGGGGGGGTGGCTGTGCAAGAGGCTTTTGAATAAAATTGCAAATAAACGTTTATTTCTGATGCAAATACAAAACTTCAATCCTGATGAGTTTATTTACAAACACTGGGTGGATGCCACTGCTGGTGAAGTTTTTATTCCCCGAGGGTATCACCAGCCCAGTGGTAAGCACTTCTGTTTTGACCTGAATTATCATTGATATGGTCATAATTATAAATTAACTGTTTACAAAACTTTGAATTTTTTAAATACTAAGGCTTTTCTACCTCAGCAATAGATTACCTTAGCTGTATTTGGCAAAACTTTTAGGTATTTTGTGTCCTCAATGCTCTTCAACTTCGTACTTTGTTTGGCCTTTTTAACTTTTTTTGGTTCGAGCGTCACTGATGAGTCTTTTGTAGGCGAAACGCGCGTCAGGCGCAAATACAAAATTTCAATCCTGGTATCTATGATGAGTTTATTTATGCAGAATTGTCTCAAATATGCGTCCTCAAATAACAAAAAAAAAAATAGTTTAGTAAGACCAAATTCATTGAAATTACCTGCTTAATTTGTAGTAAAAGAATATAGATCCCGTAACATTTGTTATACATGTTCAGGTATAACACAAACTAAAAGGAATATCAATGTTTCCACAAAAGCTACTCTTGACTCCAATCAACGTAAATTTTGCACACAAGACCGGATTCATATGCTTCTTGATATTTTCAAGAGTTATTTTTTGTTAGAATAATATTTAAATGGTCACGAAAATCTGATCGTTGGGTTCTCAGCTGGGAATTCAAATTTGTTCCGTGCAACAAAATATGCAGCCCAGAGGACTGAAAAGATTTTTTATGAAGGTCCGGGGTACTTATTACCCCCAAAAATAATCTTAGTATAAAGTTGATCGTTGGTTACTCTACATCAACTCGTACGAACAAATGTTTTCCTTTTTTTTTAAGGAGCCACAAAACGTTTGTGCAAGAAAAAACATAACTTTTTTCCCCGATTACTTGGTGATATCACCTCTGAATATACTCATTCGGTCAAAAGAAACTTTTTGTTGTGAGTATATAGAAATATTCAAAACAAATTCCTATAAACTTTCATGCAAAAACTTTTATTTTATGAATGGACATGTGTAAATATAGTAATTATGTATATCCCCATTGAGAGGCCCCTGACATACTGTAATTGCGTGAAGTCTTTGTTGTCGACAGCCAGTGATACACACGATAACATTTAATTACTATGTGTCCATGTCCACGCTGTTATGAAATTCATTCTAGTTATATTGGATATTTTGTGTAGAATACTATAATATTTTTTTAAATACATGTGATTTAACACGTTCCCAAGGTTTAAATATAAAAAAGAATGGACTTTTAAAATTCATAAAGAGACTACACCGAAAGTTAAATCAAATATCATATAAGATCATAAAAGATACAAATTTTCTTGTATAAATAGACAGTTCGGAACGACTTTTTGTTTGGACGTCGCATTCGTACATATACTGTACAGTGTAACTTTCAATTAACTGAAATGAAGCTCAATCTGTATGTCCACAGTCGTGCCTTTATTAAAGTATTAATCACATCACAAAAAAAAAATGAAAACAATACATTATAAAATCCATACGTCCGACGCGCTTTTCTGGATTGACCTTTATCAGGAACGGTCAAAACCGAATATTTGAAAGCCAAGAATGTATAAGAACTGAAACAGTTGATGAGCTTTATAACCAAAAAGGACCTAAAAAATAGCCAAATCCATCAAAGGTCAACTTTGCCTTAGGAAGTTGAAACTTAGTTTCTTTATGATTTCAAAATTTATAAACGGACATTTTCAGAAAGGTTTGTTATAAATTATGTCAGTATCGAAGTACTGACTACTGAGCTGGTGATACCCCCGGGGACTGATAGCCCACCAGCAGAGGTATCGACCCAGTGCTGTAAAAAATGAAAAGAAGTCGTTTTCAGATAAATTCACAGGTTATTATAATCTCTAGCAGATTATCAACCTGATACCAAATATATAGCTGGTGAAACGATCATCAACCTCTCACATTTTTAAAGTTATAGTTGAGAAACAATGTTTCGTTTTATGTTTGTTGTTTTGTACGGTAAGATTTCATTTATTTATTGGTGTATAGTAATATGTTTTACCATAAAGAATATGATTTTAATCATTTGTTGTGTGTACATGGTAATATTTTATTTAGATGTTGTTGTACACGGTACATAGTAAGATTTTATTCATTTGTTGTTGTAAAAGGTAAGAATGTAATCATTTGTTTCGTGTATGTTGTGTTTGGTTTTTTACTTGGTGAACTCGCTATTTATTTGTTCATTTACACAGTAATATGTTACAGAATTTGGCGTGCTCACGGTAAATTTTCATTTCAATTTGTTGCGGGTACATGATAACATTTTACAGATAGTGCATGTACGCGGTAGGAATTATTTTTTTTTTTTTCTAAATTGAATATTTTTTGTACAATATAATAATTACATTACATAGATGTTTTCATATAATTCCGTAATATCAAAAAGGTTATATTTTCCCCCAATATATTGAAACATCTTTTACTGTAAAAAGCGCATATAAAAAGGCTTGATTTAACTTATTTCATTATTATGTCATAAATTGTATTTTTTTGCATGAAGGCACAACAAAATGTGCTTAAGTCAACGTTTCTACTCACTCTCGTATGTATACTTTCAGACTCAATATATTGGTTTAAAAGGTATGGTTAAAATATAAACTAAAATGTCTTTTTGGCTGTTATCGATGGTAAATGTCTATTCATTTGTTGTATCTATTGTACAAGGTAAAAGTTCATTTTTAATTTTATTCTTTACTCCTCAGTGTACAAGCTAAGATATTATTTATTAGTTATTGTACACGTTTAAATCTTATCAATTTGTCGCTAATATTACACATTGTGTTATAATAACATACATATAGTTTGTTACAAAAGCGTACATTTCAAGTTTCAAAAAAAAAAAACCAAAACATTTAATACATAATTCATCTTCTTCCTTTTTATTTTAGCTATCTATATCCCATTTGTCAGAGGAACATGTGAGTCGTTTTTGTACGATATCTTGAATTGTTATGGTCTATATGATGTTCACCCGATAACCCCTCCGGATTCCATCATCACTTTGTGTGACCAGTACTATCCAATATGCTCGTGAGTAGTACTTACGTTTTCCCTCTGTTGATAGTTTTGTGTTTTTTCATAGTTCTTTATATTTGTATGCCCCCGCAGAAAGGCAAAAGGGGCATTAAGTGTTACCCGTGACTGTCCATCACATTTTCGTTTGAAAAGTAAGCTTGAGGGGGCATTCGTGTCCTCAGACACATTATTCTTTTATTATGAATTATATTGAGCTAACATAAAGATACCAAATGGAATGATTTGGTTTCATTTCACTTTAATGGTAGTTTGCAAAACAAAAATGACTGAAGGTTAGTAATAGATTATCAACGATATAGCGTCCAGCTGTAAGTCATACGCAACAGTAGTCTGAGATTGCTCTGACATCCGACGGCTTTTTGTAGGACTTGTTTGGACGTTAGACGTCAGACTGCAGTCCATACAGACAACATGGAAATTGCCGATTAAAAGTTATGGCGGCAAATGTCTATCTCGAAATCGTAATAAATCTATTTGCATGTAGGTAAATCAACCATGATCGCTTGATTTCGCATTCATTTTACTCCACCACGAAAACATTACTTGTGTTCACCTCAAAGCATTCTCTGAGTAGCGCAATAGTGAATAATAGAGATCATCTCTGTCACACATGAAAACGACTTATCACCGGACAAATACTTGTAATTAGCAACAAAACGGGTGCAATTAGTGTAACAGGAAGTGCTTACCCTCCTAATATAATAAGAAGACGTGATTGCCAACTACGTGTCTACCAGACAGTCCTCAGTTTTTGGCTGGGCTCGTGTCCCTCAGTCTTTAGTTTTTAGTTGGTTTGATTTTTTTGTTGTATTTTATCTCGAATGACTAACCACAATTTATAAATTTGAACAGTGCAAAAAAGACCTTTCTTAACTGTTACAAGAATGCAATGGCATCATGTGAAGACAAGCGTTTGTTTAATCCACTGATAATGGAAGAACTTTCAGTAAAATCGGTTCTGAACGGATGTTGTGCAAAAGAAGCAGGTATGTATTTGAATATAAACCCAAAAGGTTTTATGAATGAATGGAAAATAAATGAATGAATGAATGAATGAATGAATGAATGAATGAATGAATGGAATGAATGAAATGAATGAAATGAATGGAATGAATGAAATGAATGAAATGAATGAATGAATGAATGAATGAATGAATGGAATGAATGGAATGAATAGAATAAATGGACGAATGAATGAATGAATGAATGAATGGAATGAATGGAATAAATGAACGAATGAATGAATGAATGAATAAATAAATGAATGAATGAATAAATAAATGAATGAATGAATGAACGAATGAACGGATGAATGAATGAATGAATGAATGAAATGACTGGAATGAATGAATGAACGAATGAACGAATGAATGAATGAATGAATGAATGAATGAATGAATAGAATAAATGGACGAATGAATGAATGTATGAATGAATGAATGAATGAATGAATGAATGAATGAAATGAATGGAATGAATTGAATAAATGAACGAATGAATGAATGAATGAATGAATGAATGAATGAATGAATGAATGAATGAATGAATGAATGAACGGATGAATGAATGAATGAATGAATGAATGAACGAATGAACGAATGAATGAAAGAGAGAATGGAAACGGGGTATGTGTCACAGGGACAACAACCCGACCAAAGAGCAGAAAGTAGCCCGAGGCCACCAATGTTTTATGAGATCTCAACCCTCCTCTATACCTCTTGCCAATGTGAAATAAACAAACACACAGCAAGACGTACAGTAAAACTCAATTTAAAAAGAGGTCCGCGTCCGATGTAAATGTCAATTATAAACATGAATTAACAAAGGAATACTAGCAGTTACTGATATGTCAGCTCCAGACTTCAATTAAACTTATTGAAATATTATGTCTTCATCATATGAAAATCAACCACAATCCCTCCCGTTAGGGGTTTAGTTTCCTGCATCATAAATCATACGAGATGAACATAACTCGTGTCATACCAACAACTGCTTTTAGAATGAATGTGTTTATTTCCGATGTAAAGATCCTATGAGTAAATCAATATCAATTACAAAAAAATGCCATCTTTAATGACTTGACAACAGTATCGTATAGGTTACAAGAGCGCAATTATTCGTAATGCATTTTCCATAGGGTACCACTGGTGTTCCGTATTTTTTTTCTCGAAGACTACACAAACTAGGGAAAAACGGATTGCAGTTCCTGTTACTAGAAAAGCCAGTGTTGCAGTACAACCAAAAAAATATATAGGGTCATGCGGCAGAAATTGACTTAAAATGCAGTTAAAAAAAATCGTCTATTTTTTTCGCTTAATGAAAAAGGCATATTTTTATTGGCTCCGACGTGCAGAAATGGAGGATATTTTCTATACTTCGTAAAATGTGAATATGATTTTCTGCAATTTTTAAACCTAATTGGATAAGCTTTCGATTAAATGTAATTCCAATCCTGTATCATCCAATCAGAAGCCGTATAGGATTCTATTCTGAGTACCATCTTGGGGTAAAAACTTGCCGGTAAAATGTAAACAAATAATTGCGCTCTTGTAACCTATACGGTAATGAAAAAAAAAATCCGAAAATTAAGCGCCCGCGCTAAATGAAGCGCTAGCGTCTATCTAGATAAAATCACGTCTTCAAAACATTATCTGATCACTCTCTGAATTTTGAGAATTAGTTTTTTCCCGCCGATCGGGCCAAAAATTTGAACTGATTTTTTCACCAAATACGGTACTGTTCAAAAAGACATGAAGATAAAGTTTATTTACTGGCCTTATTTTTCAAAGGTCATCCAGCTCTGATCATATTGTCGTCAAAACCGTTCTGATATGGAAAAGCTACATCGAATTTTGAAGAATGGCTTTAAATGAAACCATTTCTTGAAAAAACACGTTTTTGAAACAGACTATAGTTTTTCCAAATTTTGAAAATATGATAATATTACTACTTTGGCAAGAGAAACTATTCTTGGACTACAATATTCAATGCCAAGATTAATTTTTCTACTTTGCAATTTAACTAAATCGTTGGTGTTTGTTTAGGGACCCTTTTGGTCAATTTTCACCAAATTAGCTTTTTGCTAGAATAGCAACTGAGTCACGATCATTATGGTTAAAAACCAAAATAAATCTTCAAATTCAAGATATACACATGCTTTTCCCCATAAAAACAGTAGATATCACAAAACCGTTCTATTCTCTTCATACTTTGTCGACATTCGAGCCCACCCTAGATTTAGATATGGAAATCAACACAAATAGGAAACAGACTATAGCTTGAATTCACGTTGATGAAAAGTCCATTTGACCCCATTTCTCGCTGTTTCATATTTTTTCCGAGCAAAATGACTATTTTTAACATTTTTCAAAGCCTTATTAAAAAAAAATGTCTTTTTTCTATAGGTTACAAGAGCGCAATTATTCGTAATGCATTTTCCATAGGGCACCACTGGTGTTCCGTATTTTTTTTCTCGAAGACTACACAAACTAGGGAAAAACGGATTGCAGTTCCTGTTACTAGAAAAGCCAGTGTTGCAGTACAACCAAAAAAATATATAGGGTCATGCAGCAGAAATTGACTTAAAATGCAGTTGAAAAAGATCGTCTATTTTTTTCGCTTAATGAAAAAGGCATATTTTTATTGGCTCCGACGTGCAGAAATGGAGGATATTTTCTATACTTCGTAAAATGTGAATATGATTTTCTGCAATTTTTAAACCTAATTGAATAAGCTTTCGATTAAATGTAATTCCAATCCTGTATCATCCAATCAGAAGCCGTATAGGATTCTATTCTGAGTACCACCTTGGGGTAAAAACTTGCCGGTAAAATGTAAACAAATAATTGCGCTCTTGTAACCTATACGGTAATGAAAAAAAAATCAGAAAATTAAGCGCCCGCGCTAAATGAAGCGCTAGCGTCTATCTAGATAAAATCACGTCTTCAAAACATTATCTGATCACTCTCTGAATTTTGATAAATAGTTTTTGCCCGCCGATCGGGCCAAAAATTTGAACTGATTTTTTCACCAAATACGGTACTGTTCAAAAAGACATGAAGATAAAGTTTATTTACTGGCCTTATTTTTCAAAGGTCATCCAGCACTGATCATATTGTCGTCAAAACCGTTCTGATATGGAAAAGCTACATCGAATTTTGAAGAATGGCTTTAAATGAAACCATTTCTTGAAAAAACACGTTTTTGAAACAGACTATAGTTTTTCCAAATTTTGAAAATATGATAATATTACTACTTTGGCAAGAGAAACTATTCTTGGACTACAATATTCAATGCCAAGATTAATTTTTCTACTTTGCAATTTAACTAAATCGTTGGTGTTTGTTTAGGGACCCTTTTGGTCAATTTTCACCAAATTAGCTTTTTGCTAGAATAGCAACTGAGTCACGATCATTATGGTTAAAAACCAAAATAAATCTTCAAATTCAAGATATACACATGCTTTTCCCCATAAAAACAGTAGATATCACAAAACCGTTCTATTCTCTTCATACTTTGTCGACATTCGAGCCCACCCTAGATTTAGATATGGAAATCAACACAAATAGGAAACAGACTATAGCTTGAATTCACGTTGATGAAAAGTCCATTTGACCCCATTTCTCGCTTTTTCACATTTTTTCCGAGCAAAATGACTATTTTTAACATTTTTCAAAGCCTTATTAAAAAAAAATGTCTTTTTTCTATAGGTTACAAGAGCGCAATTATTCGTAATGCATTTTCCATAGGGTACCACTGGTGTTCCGTATTTTTTTTCTCGAAGACTACACAAACTAGGGAAAAACGGATTGCAGTTCCTGTTACTAGAAAAGCCAGTGTTGCAGTACAACCAAAAAAATATATAGGGTCATGCGGCAGAAATTGACTTAAAATGCAGTTGAAAAAGATCGTCTATTTTTTTCGCTTAATGAAAAAGGCATATTTTTATTGGCTCCGACGTGCAGAAATGGAGGATATTTTCTATACTTCGTAAAATGTGAATATGATTTTCTGCAATTTTTAAACCTAATTGAATAAGCTTTCGATTAAATGTAATTCCATTCCTGTATCATCCAATCAGAAGCCGTATAGGATTCTATTCTGAGTACCATCTTGGGGTAAAAACTTGCCGGTAAAATGTAAACAAATAATTGCGCTCTTGTAACCTATACGGTAATGAAAAAAAAAATCCGAAAATTAAGCGCCCGCGCTAAATGAAGCGCTAGCGTCTATCTAGATAAAATCACGTCTTCAAAACATTATCTGATCACTCTCTGAATTTTGAGAATTAGTTTTTGCCCGCCGATCGGGCCAAAAATTTGAACTGATTTTTTCACCAAATACGGTACTGTTCAAAAAGACATGAAGATAAAGTTTATTTACTGGCCTTATTTTTCAAAGGTCATCCAGCACTGATCATATTGTCGTCAAAACCGTTCTGATATGGAAAAGCTACATCGAATTTTGAAGAATGGCTTTAAATGAAACCATTTCTTGAAAAAACACGTTTTTGAAACAGACTATAGTTTTTCCAAATTTTGAAAATATGATAATATTACTACTTTGGCAAGAGAAACTATTCTTGGACTACAATATTCAATGCCAAGATTAATTTTTCTACTTTGCAATTTAACTAAATCGTTGGTGTTTGTTTAGGGACCCTTTTGGTCAATTTTCACCAAATTAGCTTTTTGCTAGAATAGCAACTGAGTCACGATCATTATGGTTAAAAACCAAAATAAATCTTCAAATTCAAGATATACACATGCTTTTCCCCATAAAAACAGTAGATATCACAAAACCGTTCTATTCTCTTCATACTTTGTCGACATTCGAGCCCACCCTAGATTTAGATATGGAAATCAACACAAATAGGAAACAGACTATAGCTTGAATTCACGTTGATGAAAAGTCCATTTGACCCCATTTCTCGCTTTTTCACATTTTTTCCGAGCAAAATGACTATTTTTAACATTTTTCAAAGCCT